CAAATACTTATTTTCCACCATCATTTGCAAATAAAGTCTTTAAAAATCAGACAGTGATTTTCTGGATTTTTTTTTCTAGTTTTCATAGTTGAGGTATACCTAGGATGACAATTACAGGCCTCTCATCTTTTTAAGTGGGAGAACTTGCACAATTGGTGGCTGACTAAATACTTTTTTGCCCCACTGTATATCTACNACCCAGGATAACAATTACAGGCCTCTCATCTTTTTAAGTGGGAGAACTTGCACAATTGGTGGCTGACTAAATACTTTTTTGCCCCACTGTATATCTACAACTTAAAACTAGGTTAATAAGTTATTATTGTTTATAGGTTTTGTTTTTCACGGTTGACTCTTAAAATGTAATTGACATGATAACTTATAACAGACAGAGTGGGTTGTTTAACAGCTGACAGTGACAGTAACAGCTGTAGCCTCAAACATTGTCTCATAATTATCTCCATGATATTGAATGCCTGTCATTTAAATCATAGACCAGTTTCAATCAGACAGATCTCTTTTTAGAATCTAACGTCATATCAATGTTCCCCTCTTTATTTCTGTCACAGAGAACAGCTCTACAGTCATTTTCAGCATATTCAAATGTTCTAATTTTGGGTTCACTAACACAATAACTGTCTCCGCTGCATTCAATCGTCTGATGATAACCAACAGCAGAAGCTCCACAAACAGAGGAACGGGTTGCTTTGTGTAGTATTTTTGGAGGCGTTGATGATGCTGATGATTAAATGTCCAAAACATTCCACAGTTTTCTTTCATCTTGTTGAAATAAGTAATATAAGCCACACCTGTTTGTGCAGTAAATACAGTTTGATGATTAAGAAACAAATCAAAGAATAAACTTCATTTTATTTACATACACGTGGGATATGTTTCTAAATTAAGTACATTTTCGACCTAGTGTTCTTTTACTGAGTTACATTTTCAATGCTTGACATTTACTTGTTACATTGTGTTTACAGTATGGTATTAATATTTCCCTCCACCACTGACTATCTGTTTCACTCCTCTCTGCTGACCCTACCTGGCCGGTTGTAGTCGGGGGTGTTCCTGCCCCCTGCAGACAGACTGTGGTAGGGGGACGACGCGGGGCCCAGAGCGGCAATCATCTCCATCACGTTAGGCAGCACCATGTGACTCGGGCTGACGGTCCGGCAGCGCTTCAGCACCGGGCCGTCCGGCTCCTCCTTTATGTGCAGGTCTGGTTTTACAGGCACCGGCCTCCAGCCACACACCGGGTCTATGGTGATCTCCTCATACTCTGAGCTGAGGGAGTAGGGTATGGAGGTTTATTAAGATACTTGCTAAACATACAAATAATTCAAGGAGATGCACTACCGTAATTTTTGGACTATAAGCCGCGCCTTTTTCCCTATTTTTCGACGCTGCGGCTTATATAACGGTGCGGCTAATCTATGAATCCATAGATTAGCCGCACCGTTATATAAGCCGCAGCGTCGAAAAATAGGGAAAAAGGCGCGGCTTATAGTCCAAAAATTACGGTAGTGCATCTCCTTGAATTNTGCAGATTAAACACACGGGCCTCCCACTGACATTTACACACAAGTACTTCTCTTTCCACTCGCTGTTGAATTGCTGGTTTTCGGTGTCAACCTTTCGTTTTTTTAACGTAGAAAGAGACATTTTGATATCCAACTATGCTGACCAGGTTTGATTAATCGTACCATTGGCGCGAAAACGTCGAAGGTGCGCGAGCTTGTAGTGAAGGGCAGCGCGAGCCGCGAGGACGCGCGCAGAGACGCAATAAATGACAGGAGTTGCTAGTAAGTGGGTTCGAAACCCGAGCCCACCAAAGTTTTCAGGCAATGTCTTCCCCTCTATCTCTCAATGTAACACCCTCTCAGGAATAAAGGCACTCTGGCAAAAAAAAAAAATGTTAAATTAAAAAAAAAATTCAATTAAACTTTTATTTTTTATTTTTTTAACATTATACTCAAAGGGCCAGTAAATATCACCCGGGGGCCGGATTTGGCCCGCGGGCCGCCAATTGAATAGCCCTGGTGTAGAGTCTTAAATGATTGGCAGAACATAAAGTCCCATATCAATGACCCCAGAATTATAACGCTATGGTTACATTCCAGGAGCCCTAAAACTGTTAAACACTCAAGATAAAACAGATGCTCAGTTTACCTTGTATACATTTATAAAGACATATGGACTTTCTCGTCGTGCCATAGTCCGCCTAAGTGGTTTGGATATTGTTGGCATGTTATTGCTAAGCCATGCAATTAAATCTCGTGTAATAACCCATTTAGCTTTTCCTCATTATATTTTGTATTTCTATATTCATGTGTGAATTAATTATTTGTGGGTTTTTGGTGTTTAAAACATGCTGGCTTCTAATTTCCTTTGATTGTGGACATTTGTACATATTAAATGCATTTGTAAACCTACAAGTAAGAGGAAAAATATGAGGTTAAATTCTGTGGTGAGAAGACCTTCTAGACAAAAACATATTCCTAAATGTTTATGCTTCCATCTATTGCAAATTGCCTTGAACATCCTTCTTTGGGAATCAGTCCGCAAGTGATATTATAATATACAAAATAATAATGCTATAGACGTTAAAGTTACAGTCCACATGTCCTCAGCATGAGCAGCTTGATGAGCTACAGTAGCGTATAAATGAGTACAATTGAGTGACATCTGCTCAGTGTTAATTTGGATGGACATCACAGCGTATCAGCTGTCTTTGTCAAACTTAATTAGAGTGGAGGACATTAAGCAGGGACAGAAACAAGAGGGGAGGTCAAACAGGGAGAGGAAAATGGGGGGGAAAAGGGTAGAAGACTTAAGAAGGGAAATGAGGAGTAAGTGAAGGTGAAAGGAGAATCTGGATTCATGAGATAAAAAATGAAGCTGGTACCAAGTCTAATTGAAAACCCACTGGACATCACTCTTTAACTTCAGTAGACACAATCAAAGTTGGGAATCACATGAAAGAGAGTTGATTTCCCACAGGGTTAACTTCATTCATCTTATAATGTTCCTACAACGTATCTGGCAGGGCCACGTAAACTATTTTGATCTATGCAAAAATATATGAAATACCACACATGACATAATTTTCTATTCTAGTACAACCGTACAATGAATGTGCCTCCTTCTTCACTGACAAAATACAGAAAATCAGACAAGCAGTTAGTGCCTCTGTATCAGGTACAGCAAATGTGTTGTCCCTGTGTCCACTTAAAATCAATTCAAACACCATGACACAATTCTAGCAGATTAATGATAAAAACCTAGAGGACATTATTCAACATCTGAAATCCTCCTCCTGCTGCCTTGATATTATTCCAACAGGATTTTTCAAAAATGTTTTTCATTGCACGGCCTTAGATCTACTTCATATAGTAAACAAGTCTCTTCACTCAGGTGTTTTTCCACAAGCCCTGAAAACTGCAGTCATTAAACCGCTCTTAAAAAATAATAATCTAGATGCTTCAGTAATGAACAATTACAGGCCAATATCAAACCTCCCATTTCTAGGTAAAATCATTGAAAAAGTAGTTGAGTAATTTCTTGCATTTAAATAACTGTTTTGATGTGTTCCAGTCAGGCTTTCGTCCAAACCACAGCACTGAGACTGCTCTTGTAAAGGTCTTCAATGACATCCACTTAAACACAGACAGTGGCAATACCTCAGTGTTAGTATTACTAGATCTCAGTGCTGCGTTTGACACTGTTGACCACAACATGTTACTAGACCGACTGGAAAACAGGGTGGGACTTTCGGCAACAGTTCTAAATTGGTTTGAATCCTACTTAAAGGACAGAAAAAACTTTGTTTCTATAGGTAAATACACATCTGAGTTGACAAATATGACATGTGGGGTACCTCAAGGCTCCATCTTGGGGCCTCTTCTCTTTAACATCTAAATGCTACCACTGGCTCAGATAATGAAAAACTACAAAATAAGTTACCATAGCTATGCAGATGACACCCACATTTACATAACAATTTCACCAGGAGACTATGCTCCAATTCAAACACTGAGTAAGTGCAGATCCGACTAAATCATATTGACATAATGTACCTGAAACTTTTGAGTCCAGTCCTCAGGTACTAGTGTGATCTAAAGACCGAAATAGACAACAAAATACTTGTAACGTCTGAACTTCGAGGTCGCGATTGAAAGTATGCAAGAACGAACCGAGGTTTTTGTGTATGGGAGTCAAAAATAGAAAACAAATCTAACCCTTTTCAAGCTGTGTAGTCAGTAACTNTCCCTATTTTTCGACGCTGCGGCTTATATAACGGTGCGGCTAATCTATGGATTTTTACAGCTAACGGCCAACACCTTTAACTCTATGGGCTCTATGGCCGGTCCGCGGACCCCCACCTTTAAGCGGCGGGTTCCAGCAGGAAAAGCTGGAGGCCGGAAAAGAGTGAGATAGGTAGCGCGCAAAAGTAAAAGTGGAAGCGAGAGTGGTATGCCGCTGCTGCGGCTTATATTCAGGTGCGGCTTATAGTCCGAAAATTACGGTAGTTACAATTATGTTTTTAAAGTCTGAGCTGCTGATTCCAATTTGTCTTTCTTTCCACGACTTAATAAACAAACATTTTCTAACCATTTTCTCTTCCATTAGCAGCCTTCTATCATAGCATCTCTAGTTGGTTGTTCACATAACAAACACAAATAAGCACTCACTTCTGGATGTAGACGAGAATCCCGAGCATGTACTGGTCCACCTCCAGTCCTTCTAGCAAAGCTGATTTACTGTTAGACCAAAGGAAAAAGTGTTGGTTATATTTAATTGTGAGAAGATTCCAAAAAGGTGCAATGGGTGCTTCTTTACGTACTTGCACACAGGACATCTCCAGGTCCCTCTTTCACAATTAAGCTGCAAATAGGACTCCAGGTCAAAACACTGAAAAATAAAGGAAATCAATATAAGAGAACATATTAGCAAGTCATTTTAATTTGTGTGTGTGTGTGTGTGTGTGTGTGTGTGTGTGTGTGTGTGTGTGTGTGTGTGTGTGTGTGTGTGTGTGTGTGTGTGTGAGACTCCCACCTGTATGTGTCTGCAGTCGTGCCCCCTGGCTGGCAGCTGGATTCGTCTGAACGTGATCGGACATTTGAGGGAAACTTTGATTGCCGTCTGCTCTACGCCGTCCTCTCCGTTCAAACCAGGGGTCCCGGGGATCGTACCGCTACTGAAATTTCTCTTTACTGAAACAAGAAGACAATTAAGAAAAGCAAAATTACTTTCTAGATCGATGAATAACTTTTATCAGTCTGTTTATTTGCTATCAACGAATACAAATAAGTTTACTTTTCAGTATTGACTCTCTTTAATGAAAGTGTTACAATTTAGGTTTACAGGGAGACCGAACAACCCCCAAACAAACCAAAGAGGTTGCAGGACATGTGAGCCTGCTGGTGTACACTACACAAACTCTAGATTTGTAGGGTGATTGAAGAACTAGGAAGGCGTTTCACTCAAAACTCCAAAAATATCCTGCATTCAAAATCTTGTAGTAAATGTGGGTAAGTTTCAAGGTCATGAATTTAGTTACTTTCCAACACTAGACACAGAACCACTAGGTTAAGCTAAACAAACATAATCAGCCGCTGTTGTACACCATAATGCTTTAAATCTAAAGCGAGCTGGATCTGAACTCACTCTTGGTGATGCAGTGCTCGGCAGGCAGGAGTCTCTTCTTCATCAAACCCTGCAGGACAGACCTGACGGACGGCCGGTGGACCAACTGTAACACAAACAGGTGCGACTGGAAAGAGAAAAGGGTCGGTTCAAAATGGGATTAGATAAAGAAATATGAACGTGTGGGAATATGGGAACCAAACGCTGAGACAGGAAGTTGTCAGGTTCAGGGTACTTACACAGCAGCAGGCGGTTACTGTGATCTGCACTGTGTTACGTCCCGGTTGACACACAGTCTTCAGGTACAAGGGCTTGTGGGAGGTTTTGTTGTCCCCTCTTTCAATGCACAGAGGAGTTGCATTGACACTGACCTAATACAGATGAAAAAAGTATATTATTATATTTATTTAATGATGTTTAGCCTTGTTTGACAGCAGAATCCAACAATAATACAAGTAGCATGGTATTGAAGTTCAACAATCAAAAATAGCATCCTGGTGGTATGAAATCTCTACAATGAATACAAGTGATACTTTATTTGAGTAATGTCGATAAAAACCAGGGAAATAAAGTGAAAGCTCTAAAATAGCCAGTTGCCCTTTAAGAAATAGTGCCGTGTCATGACTTAACTAATAAAGAAAGGCTGATGATGCTCACTTGAACGGATGCAGGCCAGTTTGTGTTCATCTGTCGGTCCTCGTGGTGGTAGCATTTAAACTGCAACTCCAGGTCCGGCCTGCAGGGGGCAACACAACACTACCATCAGGGGAGACTGGGTGGGGTTATCAAACATTCCTCATTAGTTTTTTCTTCATGTCTCTAAGAAATCCTTCAGTTAGAAAAACAGAGCTCTGAATCCACACTGAAGCCACACATCACGTCACAAATAGAGTCGTATTTAATTTTTAAGGTAAACACCACATATTTATCTTGTATTCGCAGTAACTTCGGCTCATCAGAGAGTAGGAGACTTTGAAGATATTATTTCAATATTGTTATGATGATATACTATTTTATTTGAATATAAAACCCATGAGATGTTTCTTTAAAAGGGAGTAGTGCTGCACACAGACTGGACATTCATAGATGTTTCAATATAAAAATAAAACTATAAATAATAGTACCTCAACATGAGTGTTTTGTACACAGAGTCTCTCAGCTGGAAGGCGTGGTTACTGACGGCCAGGTTGTGCTCCAGTCTGAACGGCTCCAACACGACGCCGTCTCGTACCGGGAACGTCAGACGCAGGTCGTCACTCGGGTTACCTGGAATGAAAAAGCCAATGTGGTTTTTGATTAACTTGCATACATTTCAACAAAAAGCTGCAGACGGTGAGGGGTGGAAATGCAGATTTTAATGTGTAAAGGCCCTTTTAGTTAAGTCATTATGCTTCTCAAAACAATTTGGTCAAAATAGGAATATTAAAAGGATATTTTACTGTTACACTGATTACGTGTGTATGCACTGTAACATAACAACAGGTTAGTCATAGAAACAAGATAATGCTTTGTGTTGCTCAACAAGGATCGCTCACATTCACATGCACTACATTAACCTGGCAAATCTGTATTCCCCTCAGGTCAATGACAAGTATTTTCCTCTACCCTGAACATAATGTTATTTTATTAACAATCTGTTCATAGCCAGACCTTGGAAAAAAGTTTGGACTTTCCGATTTAATTCATTTTAAATACAAAGATACATATATTTGTGACATTTCTTTTTTCAGCTCTGTAGGTAATTTCCCTGCCTGCAGTGTTTGTCTCTCTCTAACGTGCATCTAATAAGCTTAAAAGCTGGATGTGGGGTCTCACCTGTAGAGATCTGCTGGGCGTTTATGTTGGGTTTGATGTCCGGTGGGAGGTAGGGGGGTTTTGTGTCCTGGCCCGGGGACAGGTATGGGGGTATTGACGTCCCGGGTGTCATGGGAGGCGTGGGATTCCCTCCCATGGGAGAGCTGGGATATCCGGGCATCACTCCACCCCGACCTGGCTGAGGGACGAGGATGAAAACGAGTGCTTAGAACTTCAGTGTTTCTCATTAAAAGCCATCGTCAAACTGTTAGAACTCAGTCCTATAATGGGATTAAGAAGAGTGCATTTATGGCTTACCCCGTTGACTGCAGCCTGTGTGAAGGCATTGTATCCTCCTGCTCCTCCAGATGGCAGGCTGCCCTGACCATTGAATGGCTCCGACTGGAGAACAGACATGAAACATGAAACTCAGCTAATGATCGCTCTCTCTGGACCCCTAAGAGTCCAACAGTGCTGACAAAATTAGATCTGTGTGCTGGAAGCTTTCAACAACTTGCTTTTAATAATGTGATCAAACATCACCAGGTTAGGTGGAAAAATAGGACTTACACCAACACAGGGCTCTCGACTAACTTTTTTCACCATCCTCCCGGAACCGTCCCGAAATACAATCTAAGCCGTCCCGAAATTAATGTGGACCGTCCCGAATTTAAAATATTAGATTTTCTACTACTTATCATTAGTTAAAATCATTCAAATTGACCTTTAACATAAATAAAACATCATACAAATCATTAGATGATAATTCATCAACCTTTTTATTTGAGTAAATCAGTCAATCACATGAACAAAGGCCAAATATATTTAAACAAACACACAAACGAGAAAATTACTCTAATATTGAATCAAATCAAGTCCCATCCAATTAACAAAAAAATCCAACACTCTGTCCTGAAGACAGAACCCAGAGTAACCACTAACCAGGATGACAGTCTGTAACACAGTCAGG